GAAACACACTATTTTGGTGTAAGTAGTTGCCACCATTTTTGGTGCTCAGATACGCGAATATATTTTTTACAGTATGGGAGCACTAAATAATTATTTTCCCTCTTATAAGCTTACTTGCATGAAATAATTTCTAATTCATAAATTTTTTAAATCATAAGGTTGTGATTTCTATCCAGTTTTCGAAAAATTAACAATACATAAAAATACAGCTAGAAATATTTTTTTCGCAAAATAAGTATGTTCTTTTTATTAATTTAAGGAGGATTTTTTTTTAAAAAAAATAAAGTTTATTTGAAACGATGCAATTATTTTTGGAAAAAATATACCAGAGATCATTAAAATTTAATTGATAAAACTATCTTGAATAAATATTTGGGCAAACTCTCATCTTAAATTATCTTGAATAATAAAAGGAATATCATTAAATTAATCAAGATTCATGTTTTAATAAAATAGTAGTTTTAGCGAAAATATTTTTGATTGAAATTTCGCCATTTATGTGAAAACATCGGTGAAAAAAGCTAGCAATTATGTAGCACAAAAAGATTTTGAGAGAATTTCTGAATCAAAAATAGAAACTAAAACTGCTTTAGAAACGTTAAAGTCAAATTTTATCATAAATTAAAATTATGTGGTTTTATAATGAAAAACGTGAAAAGACAAATTTAACGGAAATTTTCCAAATTGATTCACAGAGGAAAAAAAATCTTCTACAAGGTGATTAATACAAAAATAATGCATACTATAATAACGTATAATAAATGTATAATAATGTATAGTGTATATAAATAATAATACAAAAATAATGTATAATGTTTATAAATACTTCATAATTATTTTTACCAAATTTACTTGCGTAAATAAGGTTAACAAAATAATCTCAAATCAATTATTTTCAAATTCATTTCTTAATTGATTTTTTTTCTAATTCTTCAACAAAACAATTCAAAATTGCTTTCATTATACAAAACAATACAGGTCCTGCCTCTTTTTTTTATTGTGTAATTCATAAAATGGTCAATTTAAGAAAAGATTCTTTTCAAATTGATTCAATGTGAAAAAAAAATGCAGCAAATGCTCAAATATATAAATAATTTTAAAAAATTGAAAATTAGATATTTATTATATTATATAAACAATTGCGTAAACAAAATTTAAATAATCTCAAATCAAAATATTTTTATATTCATTTGTTAATTGTTTCTTTTTTTAAAATGGTAACACACCTTTTTTAAATTATTTCCGTTGCAGAAAAAAAAAAATAAAACCACACAGGTACCACTTCTATTTCAACAGCCTTTGATGGCACTGAGCTTTCCTACAAGCTCATCATTGAGCGGCACATCCACACACTCGTCGTTCGCTTGAACAGTCTGAACACTTCCTTGACAGCCTACGTGTTCATAAAGATGAACACAATGGTTGTAACAGACGGTCACGGCGGCTGTCTTGTCATTGAATTGGTCAGGAATATCGTCGCACATACCACCGTCCACGAGTCCACTGATCAGGAAACCATCCGTCTCATTTGTTTCCTTGTTGTATTCTTCCCAGATGATGTACTTGTTGTGACCCTTAAATAAGGCCCGGATCTTGTTACCTTCGCTGCCTTTCTTCCCGTCAACGTACACCCCGTCATGAGTCACTGTGTACTGGTAAACCTCATCCAACTCACGAGGGCACATGTGAGTGGAATTTTCGTTGTACACGTCGAATCTTGCGTACTGTTGCTTGTACTCCACGACGCACCAGAATTTAGTGCCACCATTCTTCTGGGGTCGGAATGAAAAGAGAAAGGCATCACCCGGTTGAATGGTGGCCTTTGTCGAATCGTGAAAGGATTTGCATGTCACGCGAAACTCGGCCTGTGCTCTGTTTCGTATGACCACCATTTTTTCGCAACGATAGTTCGTGAAGTCTTCGATTTCTTCAGCGGTGCGCTCTTCGTTTAGGTTGGATATCAGTATTCGGATGCGATCGCGAGTAGGCTTCGCCGATTCTACGACCACGACGCTCGTAAGAACGAGCACCGTCATAAACGAACTGAACATCTTCATATCGGTCTTTTTTAGTTTACTATTTTACTCTCAACTTAAATGACGAAAAGAAGGGAATGTTTCCAAACTTGATATATTATAAAACATTTTTTTTTTATCTCTCTGAATGTGGGAACTATGCAAGTGTTAAAGAGAGATTACATTGGTCGTCGAAAGAGAAAGAGTACACGCGTCGAAAGAGTAAGATAATTATTTGAGTAAAAAAAAAAGTAATAAAAGTGATCGGAAACAAAAAGCCAGAATGATAAACGTAATTTATTAGAATATATATAT